AGGCCTAGGCCCAAATTGGGGCTGTAGCGCCCATGGAAAAAATACAGAAACATCTACATCACTGCGATTGTCATTGCGCAGACGCAGCGCCCCTTCTCCCTCAATAGACTGCAATGAAATATCTTCAAGCCTGTTCATTCCCTAAGTGTACATATCTCACTTACATTTCCCATCCCACTGCACGCTATTCATTATGGCAATAAACGTCAAAACTGTTGCCTTACGTTTTCAAGCAATTTTATCTGTTTCTAGATGAGACCGTAGTTGTTCCTACGCCTGTCGTGTTGCACCGTTCGTTTGCCTCTAACAACGCGCAGCAATATATTTCAATGAGAAACAGACTGGAAGCAACTACTTAGATGCGCATAATGGACGTTTATAATCATCTGCAAGTGTTTGTTATCCGTCCGGATGTCTATCCCAACGTTACATCTCTCTAACTCTGTCAACCAGAGAAAAGTTCATTACAAATTCAACAGGAATAACTGACAATGGTTTCCAAAAGACCCTTCCATAGCTCGAGCTGAGATTACTACAGCGGGACTACGAACAGCATAGTTTTCCGGGACGTGACGCCGTGAAGTGGGTAATGTTCACTAACGGTTCGCAAGGCTGCGCTGCCGCCATTGTAAACGTGGAAGAGTAAACAAACCGGCAAGTCTAACTTAACTTATTAACTGCTAACTAATGCCTATCGTGTCGATCATAGTGATAACTAAGTAACTGGCATTCCGGCAAAATATACGATGTATGCCTACATATTTCCATCACACTAAAGTAAGGCCCTTGAAAATTACACGCTAAGTCTCATAATTTGTTACTTCAGCTATCGTACCACTAACTTTCCCTGCTTTCGCCGGCATTTCTCTCAGTTCTACGTATTACCGATTAATAAAATGAGGCCGAAATTTAAGGCCGTCTCGCATGAATAACACGCACAAATAGCAAACGAAAATCATATTATTTATACAGCGAACTTCACATATTCACATCAATCACAGAGCACATATATTCACTAAAACAAAAGACTGCTCGTTAGTTCGTGACCTAATACATAATTTTACGTTCTTTCAACTTTTTAACGCTAGACAATTCGTTCCTTTGGTAACCTGAAAATGCGTAGTGACAATGATACAGTTTATGCTTATGTACAGAGGAGCGTTGGGTTCCTGTAATGCAGTAATTCGACAGGTACAGACATGGCGGTGCACTCGACGCTTATTACAGGGGGCAGGGAAGCAGATTCCCTGGTTCTGTTTATCCAGTTATCAGAGGGAAGGTGAGCTCCACACGTAATCATCCCCGATACATTACGTAAGTTAAGCTCCGCTCCACTCCACCCCATGGGAGCACCCCGATATGCAGAGCCGCTACAGCTCAAGGATCATACGTCACTACTTCATCTACTCGTGCTACTAGTGACGCCGCGGACTCTGCGTCATCATTAGAAAGCTGATGGGTTCTATTTTCAGCATATGCCAGTTATTCACACGTCAGTGAGAGATCGAAACATACACTTCCGCAGTTTCGTACGATAGATAGGCTTCACTCACTCGTGCAACTAGACTCATCCCTCAGTCATTTCACGAAGGCCATTCGCCGGATGTCACAGTTGAGTGTGTGGCACTTCTGCCTTCATGCTTCAAATTCCACATCGATTTCGACAGCCACAACAATTTCACGTTGAAATTTCAACGTTCTTCTTCAATACTGGTACGTTTAGTAAAAGATGTAAAAGTTCCTAATAACCGTTATGTTTTAATACCACAACATTCCAAGATGTGACTCAGTCTAGTCTAGCAGACGTTTGCAGACGTTTCGGGAGAAACTAACTGCCTCTAACAACGTTCCTAGACTGAACTGCCTACAGCCTAATGTCACTCCTCTGGCCCAATTACACGTCGCTATGGAACCACGTGCAACTTCTCTTCCGCCGCCCCCAATCCGTTAACTTTGCAAATATGGCCCTCTTTAGGGCCACGTTTCTTTACTCCTCTGCTTGCTCCTACCAGTGATCTCAGGCCTTATATCCAGACCTGCATTCCATCTTGGCTCACTCACAGATCCTAACGGAGTATGGAGGTGAAACGTCTCTCCGATACGTCGTTGGACGTCTACCGAAACAGACGGTGTCACACCCCAGAGCTGCCGTCACGAGAAGCTGAAATGCAACAACACGGTCACGGCTCGGCCATATTAACTTATTTGGGAATCAATTCTATGTAAACCAGTTGTTAAATAATCTGTCCGAATTCCGGGCTTTGCTATATGCGACTGCTCAACCCTTGCGTTCTACTACGAGACTGTTCGGTTCATACAAACCAAGCATCAGATTACTTTGTTCTAACTCGATGTGTTTCCCACTATTCATATAGCTTCAGATTAATTTGGACCCAAAATCTCACAACATTTCCATAATAAAAGTCGTTGACTGTTCTGATTATGTGCCATTTCGTCTCACCGTGTTATATATTAAGTCATTCTATTGAATAGAAGTTGCATGTAGTTCCTGAATATTTCGTCGAATTCTCAGAAACGTAATATTTCATTCGGCAAACCAACTTCACCTTCTCTCGCGTCAGAGAATTAATTTACCAATTCAAATGCAATAATGTACGATATGTCAAAAAGTGCTAACAGTCATACTGAAGTTCTTGCATACAAGAGCGTTGTAAGTGCCATTTCACTAATTAGGAAATTAATGTTCTAAGTGAAAATAAACAAATTAGTAATTCACGCTGTGATGCAATTGTAAGAACACTGTTTTCTCATTAAGAAAGCAGTCTTCTGGGATTTGGCACCGTGTATATGTGGTGTTAACCGACGTTTCGGAGGAACGTGCACAGTCTGCTTTTACCGGTTCTCACTGTCTCTTCGCTTGCAGATTTCTTATATTTTTTCTTCTACCCTGAAGATGGAGGCGATACGTTCCTCCGAAACGTCGGTTAACACCACATATACACGCTGCCAAATGCCAGAAGACTGCTTTCTTCATAGTCACCGCCGCGAAAGCCTCAAATCTTACTGTTTTCTCAGCTGACATCCGAAAGATGTATGCAATGGGTTCCCCCAAAATGCTGATATCTATGTACCAAACTGCACGGGGTTTCACCCTACAAGATGGTAATCTTAATATTTATTTTAATTTTGTTTATTCCAGTTCCCTCTACCGTAGTCTGTCTGCTCGATATAAATGCGTCTTCTATCTTACAATGTCCATGTGAATCCCTTTCCGTAAGCAACAGCTTCTCTAACATTTATGCAGATGTCTCGTAACCAGAATGCAGGACAAAACCAAAACATAAAGAGAGCTATGAAAACGTGGCAAAATCAAAATACGTGGGGGCGACATTCATAAATCTAACAAAATCACGAAATAATTAACAACAGGCTATGCTCAGAAAATGCTTGCTACCAATCGCTCAGAATCCTTCGTCTTCTCGTGTTATCAAGAAACGTAAAAATAAAAATTTCCAAAACGTCTATTTTGACTGCCGTTTTGTGTGGGTGTGAATTGCTCTGTCATGTCACGGGAAAAACATAAGATTGAGCGTGTTTGAGACAGGGTACAGAGGAGCATATGTGAGCCCAATACGGAGGAACTAGGCTGGAGAAATTTGCATAATCCCTCGCCAAATAGCATTAGCGTGATTTAACCACGGTTTCACACCCCAGGAGAGAGGAATCTTGAATGTTACCAACTTGAGGTCTGTCGTGGTCTTTAACGCGAATCTTGTATCACATGACTTAAATTTTGGGATTTACTTGAAGACCCGTCGGTCTGAGGACGCCGCAAACTGTCGTACTAACTAAACCTCAGGAGGATAATGGGAGGTTCTGAAACCGCCATTATGTTCTAAATTATCTGTTAATCGAGTGGGCAGAACTGAATGCTAGGCATCTCAACTATGCTGGCTGTCCCCCGTCCTGTTTAAAGGTATGCAACACGAGCAACATCATATCGCACTTCAAAATTGTTACACTTCACTTTACACAAGCAGAAACGGCCGTTCGGGGCATGCAGTAGCGTAGTTGGTTAAGGCACTATGCTACAAGCCGGAAGGTCGCGGGTTCAAGTCCCGATGAGGTCATTGGATTTCTTTTTCAACTGACCTAATCCTTCCAGCCGCACTATGGCCCTGGGGTCGACTCAGCCTCTAACAGAAATGAGTACGAGGAATTAATTAATAATCTTCTTGGGGAGTAAAGCGCGGCCGGGGCATAAGGCTGACAACCTCACCGCCATCTTTGAGGCAACTGTCTAGATAATGTGGGAGCCTCAACGTCTCACAAGCCTATGGGCCTCCACGGCCTGTTACAGGGATAGCTTAGCTTAGCTTTACTTTTTTACTTTAGAAACGGCCGTTCTTCGGCCGCGATGTCACTGCTTTCGTGCGAGATCTGAGGTTCTCACAGTGGTACGTGACGCCGTGTAATGTGGAAGACCGTTAATATCATTTCGGTGGAATCTGCTACATCCATCTTCAAGGTAGAATAGTAGCTCTTAGTTATGACAGTTGGCAATATAGGACTCCATTATTTTCAAAACTGTGGAACACACCTAAATTGACGGCAAGATGGAATACGTCAAGGACACGGGTGAGTGTTCCATATAAATACACACAGCGCTTTAACTGCAGAACAGAGCCCCTAGTGCCGGGGTCAAGAAAGGTGGAGCTATAGCTTCACCCCCTCAATTATGTTCATGGAATAGTGCTTGATTAATTAAAAACATGGACAACTTTACATTTTACCATAAATCTCAGGCCCTTTAACAGAGATTGAGTCTAAAATTCATATGGAAAACATTTGTCAATAAGCAAAATTAAACACAGAAATAAAACTTAGGCCTCAAAGCCAGTTTTCAGTCTGTGCTTGTAAACATGCAAGATGGACGTGCGATATGTCGGGGTTTCCCTTTATCAGCCTCGGAAACCCCGACAACAATTTAGAATACTCCTGCAGCACTACATGTGTGATTGAGACGAGTGGTTACTCACATAAAGAAGTACGTATCGTTCTGGAAACCGAAGAAGGGAACGGTATACGTCAGCATCCAAATGTTGCCCCCACCGCAGTCGTAGTATGGCTTACTCCACCTGCCGTCCTCGTACCTGACGCTCAGAATCTCGTCTGGGACTCTCTCCGTGTGGGCACTCTCGTTGTACGTGTAGGTGTGGTAGCCTGTAACACAGCGCGAACACCACGTTAACACACTGCTTCCGTCTTCAGGGTGCAAGAGTAAGCCAAGAGGGAGACTCTAGCAAGTGAAGCCTCATTCTCGTCGGCTCCGTATGCAAGCAGTGATTTCCTATGATGGGGGATCAGCCCGTCGCAAAGGCCGAAACCTACACCAGAACAACACAAACGCAGAAGAAACGCAGACAGACATCCATGCCTCAGTAGGATTCGAACCCATGATCCCAGCGTTCGAGAGAGCGAAGACGGTTCATGGCTTTTACCGCGAGGCCACTATGATCAGATTTTGGTAATATATGCAACATATAAAGAGCCCCAAGTTACGTACAGCAGGTGCATGAACTTCTCGAAAATGGAGCTCCTACCTTACAGAAAACACAATGCATCTCCATTACAGAGACGAAGATATAAAGAGCCCCTGTCACTCCAGGTTGCATGAACTTCTCGAAAATGGAGCTCCTACCTTACAGAAAACACAATGCATCTCCATTACAGAGACGAAGATATAAAGAGCCCCTGTCACTCCAGGTTGCATGAACTTCTCGAAAATGGAGCTCCTACCTTACAGAAAACATAATGCATCTCCATTACAGAGGCGAACAGATTAATTTTGATTGGGGTAACACTTTCTGTTTGTTATAAAAACCGTATGAAACCAATACATACACGCTGCGGGCAAAGTACACAATTCCTCTTTAATTATAAAGCAGGTGGCAACATTAACACGGCCCACTTCCAATGGGCGAAAATGGCCAGGAGCAGGACAAACATCAAACATGGCCCAATTGCGAAAGCCTGAAATCAGAAACAGAAGGAATATATCCCATTTTGAGTTCGGTTCCAGCCTGCCACCATATTATACGCTTCACAAAAGTTGTGAATTGAACGCCGGGGGTTCGACTCCTGTTAAAGACAAAATATATTTTTTTTCACCACACCGTTCAATAGGTACGGGGGGGTTCCTTCCCGGGCTATAAAGCGGCGGGTTGTGAAGCTCCTCGCTTCTCCATGTATTTTTTTTCCTTGGCACTACAGCCCCAGTGGGCCTAGGCCTACCTCCATGAACTTCTCCGTTCACTTTTTTTTTCTAGATCTTAGACATACGGTAGGACTCCTTGGGCGGGTGATCAGCTCGTCGCAAGGCATCTACCTGTACATAAACACAGAAAAACGCACACAAACATCCATGCCCTGAGTGGGATTCGAACCCACGATCCCGGCTTCCGAGCGAGCGAAGACAGTGCACGCCTCAGACCGCTCGGCTACCGTGACCGGCTTCTCCATCTAATGCCGAGTACAAAAAAGCGTGCAGCTATAACCCCACTCCCCCACGTGTCTTCATGGAGTGGTGTTTAATTAATTAACTACAGGGACAACTCTACCCCTCCCTTTCCTTGGTTATAACAGAAACTTAACTATAAGCTTTAGACAGACTTTCATTTAGTAAGAGCCGGATTAGCGATGCGCAGAAACGAACTACCGAACAGGGGATCGAACAAGTGGCGCTGTGAGGGAGACGGACGGACTGCAGACAGGAGAAATCCTGATAGCCTCTCTCTCCCTCTATCCCTACTTGCCACTGGTGCCAAGGATCGTGATCTTTCAATCTATCTATACATTTAAATAAACGTCAGTCTATCAATCTAAAAAGAAGTCCTGGGAACAACTAACACGGCACGCACGAGTTCAACAATTCTTCTATTGTTGTATGTGTATTTGTTGCAGCGGTAACGTTTTATTGAGCCATTGTCAAACAACGATTTTAACGAGTCGTTGCCTAGCAACTATATGGGTGCACACATAGACACACAGACTGATGGAAGGGATTCATGAAGTACGCCGTTGAGATGGGCTCACGTGCCATACATACCTAGTTTCATATAGATTGGTTCAGCCTTTCAATTGTTGATAAGGGGGGATACACAGACAACATGGATATCGCATAAGCCTACTTTCATTTTTTCAAAACAAGATTGGGCTAATAACTATAGCTGTCACGAAAAATCATATGTTTCGGCATACATGTGATTTGGAAACTGTACAAATTTAGAAATAAATGAGTTACACCTTTAAACTTTTGATCAATTAATTACTAAATTTGTCACGAGAAGCAAACACACACACTGGAATAGCACAACATGCAGGATTGTGCCTCTTTTTTTTTTCAAGGAAACTGACATGAAATGACTGATTTGGTTGCCTTAATGAGAATCATTATGTCGACATAGGATATTAATTGTGAACTGATATGGAGACAGCTGAACTTGAATTATTTCTGCTCACTTAGTCCCTGGCTGCCTGACTGAATGATTATTCTACTCGGCCACTCCCAGATACGCCCATCCACTCGGGTGTACTAGCTCCCTCAATCACCCACTACCTCGTTAATTTGCTCAGCCACTCCCCCATACAGCCCGCCACTCGACAACTCGCTCAATCATTCACACGCTGGATCAATCGGTTTTGTTCCATACACAATGCCAGGAAAACACTTCTACACGTATGACAGATCTTATTGTTTGGAAAGCAGAGAAAACTGGGTGTTCACTGAAATGTAAACGTATTTGTATTGCTAGCTCTTAACACTGAAACAGCTGTACTGAACTGTAACGCGTTTCAAGCAATCTGTAAACTACTATAACAAATTATCTGTATACTTGGATAGCTCAGCGGATACAGTGATTAGGCTAGAGTTGGACGACCGAGGAATCGGGTTTCGATTCTCAGCAGGGGCACACATAATCCAAGCCAGCCTCCTTCCCAAAGGACTTAGCGGCTTATTTTCCCGGGAGTAAGGCGGCCGTTGCATGAAGCTGACCATTCACCTCCATCTAGTGAAGAGGTTAAGAATGTGTTCAGCTATATATCGCTACCTCACATGTCTTCATGGATAACTAACTAGCTAGCTAACTATCTAACTCCATGGACCTAAGTTCTTGAAAAATGAACTCTTTTTTTCAACAAACTAAAAGTTTTCAGCACTTCACGCGACTACCGTGTTCACAATGGCACGCCACTGGTCCCTAACCTAAACAGACGAATTCACTCCACACCCCTCCTACCGATTTCCTTCAGATCCGTTATAATATTATCCTCCCTTCAATTTCTGTGTCTTCCTAGTGGTCTCTCTCCTTTGGGTTTTCCTTCTAAAACTTTTTATGATCATCTATATGCTCATATACGTGCTACATACCCTGTCCATTCATATACAAAGTCAAACTTACTTTACGACCAGAGATATTTTTGCAACTGAACCCTTGCGATCATTGTCGTTGTGTAACATCCTCTCTGACGAGAAGATGGTTTTGTCTCTTATGAATATGCTTGGCTTTTCGTCAAACGTACGTATCGCACATACAGCGTGTTACTGAATATTCTTCCTTCTGCACTACATACAAGTTCCCTGTCAGCACGGGGTCTGTAAAGCAGATCATGCCTATCTTAAGTATAAATCATTTCATGCATCCTGTTGTGTTATAATTTATAACTTCTTTCTTAAGACCGTCATAACACAACTATATCGAGGTCAGTGCCTGGTTTTGGCTCTTCTACATGTTTCGGCTATTAATAGCCATCGCCAGGCAAATACATGGCTAACATATATACATCACTGAACTGCAGTATTAATAAAATTGGATACAATAATATAAATTATATTAAAATACTTGACGTAAAAATACAATAAATTAGATTATATAAAACAAAAGTTATAGTATAAAATAAGAATAAAATTCTTCGATTGATGCTTTACATCATCGAGTCAGTAGTCGGTTTTTGTGATTTTGTTGCATTCCCACGGACAAATTAGAGTATTCTATATTTTGTGTATAAAAACTGTTATTGGAGGCTCGTGATGTAGATGTAGTAATGACATGAAAGTAATAGTATTAAATTTTGTTATAATAAAAAAATGGTTTTGGTATTGAAGATATAGTGTATTATTACTTACTCGTATTTAGTCGGTACCTCATCTTACAAAGTATTGTCCGTTCTATAGGGAAATAGTATCTTATGCTGCAAAGGTAGCTCAAGCTCTTAAACGGTAGTAAGCTTGACCACCGCCATGTTTAAGCCTCTTATTATTGTCTACGTCTGGCTTCGCCTTGTCCTATACTACGAACATGTTCGTTCTCATGATTTTGAATGACTTCCGCTTGTTGTCTGCAAAATTTTGTTATAATGCACTAAGTCAAGTCAAAGTCAAAGTTATTTTACGACTGACGGTTTACCGCCAATCAGCTCGTCTTGGCGCCAAGCCCCCTGAGACTCACGAGCAGATTTTTTTCAACTGAACCCCTGCGGTCACAGTCCTTGTGTAACGTCCTCTCTGACGAGATGTGGTTGTCTCTTATAGCACTATATCCCCGGCACGGACCGCACAGAAAACGTCTCTTCCGTTGCCGGGGAAAAGTCTCCACATAGCTGTTCCCTAGCAACGGGTCTACATGTCACAGTATTTAGAGTTCTTCCTTTATAGTGGCGGCTGCTCCTTATGATGACACACAATAATGGTCGAAACATGCAAAGACAAAACGTTTAATTACTCATACTAAATCGTTCACACTTGATGGACTTCTACTACTTATGTGTTAAAGGGTGTAACGGGTCAAGGCTTCTGTTATAAAGACGTGAGAAACCAAGTTGTACAAACATACAAAATTTAAAGGCAAAATTATACTTCTGTATATCTTCCTCTTTATGGCTTGATGCTTAACTAAGCAAGAGATAGCTGTTCCTTGTATATTACAGTACTTACATGTCCCTGGTTTTCTGTTTAATTCTGCATGAAGATACTAAACTCAATTTCCGCATCTTCCTGCAAGAATACCTTTTCTACGTCTTGAAACAATTTTATCATTACCTTTTGTTTAATTTGTGTTTTATACAATAAATCAACATTAGAAAATGTACACTGAATGTTGACAAAGATAAACGCATTCATACGCCTATGTCTGTAACTACAGAAACATAACCGTTCCACATAA